GGCGGCGGCGGCGGCGGGAACCGTGCGGGAGGCGGAGGTGCTGGCGGAGCAGGCGGCGGCGGCGGCGGCGGCGGCTCCAAGGCCCCCCCGGAAGAGTTGTCCATGTTCCAGCTGCCCACCCTCAACTTCTCGCCGGAGCAGGTGGCCAGCGTCTGCGAGACGCTGGAGGAGACGGGCGACATCGAGCGGCTGGGCCGCTTCCTCTGGTCGCTGCCCGTGGCCCCCGGGGCGTGCGAGGCCATCAACAAACATGAGTCGATCCTGCGCGCGCGCGCCGTGGTTGCCTTCCACACCGGCAACTTCCGCGACCTGTACCACATCCTGGAGAACCACAAGTTCACCAAGGAGTCTCACGGCAAGCTGCAGGCCATGTGGCTCGAGGCGCATTACCAGGAGGCCGAGAAGCTGCGTGGCCGCCCACTCGGCCCGGTGGACAAGTACCGCGTGCGCAAGAAGTTCCCGCTGCCGCGCACCATCTGGGACGGCGAACAGAAGACTCATTGCTTCAAGGAGCGGACTCGGAGCCTGCTGCGGGAGTGGTACCTGCAGGACCCCTACCCCAACCCCAGCAAGAAACGCGAACTGGCGCAGGCCACCGGCCTCACTCCCACACAAGTAGGCAACTGGTTTAAGAACCGGCGGCAGCGCGATCGCGCCGCAGCAGCCAAGAACAGGTCAGTGGTGGGGACTGAGGCTGGGCCACAGCCTCTGGGGACCAGGGAAGGGGAGAGGGGTTGAAATGTGGGCGATTGGGGTTTGGTAGGGACGGGATGCCCAGCTCTGGAGAAGCCGGGACTCTCCGGCCAGTTGGAGAAAGTTTCCGCTTGTCCCGGGCGCCTGGAACAAGGACAGGCCGTGGGTTTACGGGCTGTTTTTATCAGAGCCGAGTGAGTGTGCGTGGGGCTCCGAGTGTCCTCAGCCCATAGTGCCCGCCCGTGGAGCCTTAGCATCCTCACCGGTCCTGGCCCCAGCTAGGAAACACGGAGGGAAGGAAAGTCCTCCTTGCTATTGCATCTTTATTTCCATGCATAGCAAAAGAAAAAAAAAGGCCTCAGAGGAGTCCATAAAGGTTGAGGAGAGGAAAGAGTTCCTGCCACAAAGGGAAAAGGCCACCGTGAGTGCGCCTCCTTCCTTGACCCCGAAGACTGGGAGTGAAGCGGCCTAGTGTGTCAGTGAGTGTGTGTGCTCACTCCCGATGCTGCTGGAGCATTAAGTCCCCCTGTACCCCCACCTGAGAGGCATCCCTTTTGGTTCACTAAGTTGCAAAGCAAAGCCGGCAGGAGCAGTTCTGCTGGCAAGTTGGTGACAAAGTGACAAAGTTGTACTGGTCTTGATGGGTCATTAAAGCTGGGTTGGGAGAAAGTAAGGAGAAAAAGGAGAGAGGAAATGAATCCCGAGGGAAGGACGAAGATCCGGGAGAAGTTGGGTGAAAGCCCTCATATGCAACCCTGCTCGGGTTGAAAGGCTCTAGGCCTGGTGTACCGCATGGAGCAGGAACCCCCAGCTACTGACAGCTGCTAGTGGCTGGAGCTTAGCTGAAGTTTCTGGAGTGTGTTTGGATTTAGGTAGCCTAGGCCTAAGCCCACTACCCTCTCGCCCCTGCCTGTGGAGCCCACTTTTCGCCAGATGGGGGGAGCGGCCAGGGCCAGGGAAAGGCTTCCTTGTAGGGAGAACTTGGAAACACTAGGTTCTGGCAGTCGCTCGTAGCCCAGGAAAGAGGCAGCATAACTCTGTTTTCTCCTGCCCCCTCTTTCCTCCTTTTTCTTTCTTCCTCTTCCCCCATCTTTAACTTCTAGCTTCCTTATTTTCTCTTTCCCCGGATCCTGCGCTCTACGCAGGGATTCTGAAAGTAAAGCGGCGGGTCCTCCCGGGAGAGACGGCTACTGAGAACCCTGCAGTACTGGGTGTGTGTGTTTGGAAAACCAGGGGCCGGAGGCACAGCGGAAAGCCCAGTTCTCCAGGCGGCGGGCTCAGTTGGGAGAGCTCTGGGGGCTAGGGAAAAAAAATTCTTCTCCTGAGGTCTGCTTCTGCATCCTTGGCTGCCTGAGCAGGTCTCACCGGGAGGCTGGCCTGGGGTTCTATCTCTCCTCTGAGTCTGTCCCCCTCTGAGAAGCTTCCCTTGGCAAGGGAGCCGCCAGCCGGACTGGGAAGGCTCTGCGGCTACCAAGGAACAGCTGGGTGCCTGGAGGAGCCGAGAGCCCAGAGAGGGCATGGGATGGGGAGGCCACAGCGCGAGCGGAGAGCGGGCCCTGGCAGGCCAGGCTTTCTGCGGTGAGAGGGAGTGGGGTGACGGGCCACTGTGTCAAGGCGGGCATGGCTCTCTCTTCCCCGCAGGCTCCAGCACCAGGCCATCGGACCGAGCGGCATGCGCTCGCTGACCGAGCCCGGCTGCCCCACGCACGGCTCGGCAGAGTCGCCGTCCACGGCGGCCAGCCCGACCACCAGTGTGTCCAGCCTGACGGAGCGCGCGGACACCGGCACCTCCATCCTCTCGGTAACCTCCAGCGATTCGGAGTGTGATGTATGATAGCCAAGGCCGCCCTCCTCCCCCTCCTTCTCCTCCTCCCTCTCCGGCTTCCCCTCCTCCTCCTAGCCCTCCTCCTCTTCCTCCTCTTCTACTCCATCCCTAGAACAAACCGAAATCAGGATACACAATCATAAACACACGAGTCCACACACACTCCCACCCCAGCCAAATATATATATATATATAAGCCAAGAAAAATAACAAATTAACCGCAAACCATCAACAATCCCCCATCATCTACCACCAAGGCCACCCCAAAGGACCTCGACCCGCCTACAGACAGTCACAAACGCTGATGTTGTGGACAGAAAACATAAAGGAGGTGACAACTGAATACTTTCTAGGACAAGCACAGCTTCTCCTTCTGGTTGCCACGGACCGGGCACCCCACCTGCATGACGATTTATTTGTATCTGGGAAAATATTCTCTCTAGTTTCAAATGATTTAAAGAGTTCGACTATACAAAAACAAAACAAAACAAAAACAAAAAAACAAACAAAAAACCACCACGATGACAAGACGACAAAAGCAAAACAGACAAAAGGAAAAAAAAATCTCCGCCATCTCCTTTTGGAATTTGTTTAAAAAAGAAAGAAAAACTCCTCGAGAGAAATAGCAGATGTTTCTTGCCTTTTGTTGCTCTCTCTTTTTTCTTCTCTAGCTCTTCCTTCCCCCTTCTCTTCTGTTTTTTAAGTCCAAGTATTGGTCAAACAAGATGCAATCCTCTGTTTTTTGTTCAGCAGACAATCATTTTATTCGTAAAGCACCTTTCCCTCTCCACTGTCACTGCCTGTGTGGGTACTGGTTATAAATGTGGAAAAAGAATAGTTATGACTGTAACAGATTTTTATTTTTATTTCAAAATTTTATATGAATTATGTATATCTTAATGATTGGTCATTTTCCCAGTTTGTAATATATGTGTAGAAATTGCCTGTATATATTGCTTTTTCTCCTCTCCCTTTCTCTGTCTCTCTCCTCTCTCCTCTCTCCCTCCCTGCTGACCTCTTTCCTTTTGGGGGTTCTTTCTCCCACTCGGGGTTCCCTGCCGACTTGGGAGTCGAGACTGGCAAGGTGGCCAGGGTTTGGAAGAGAGAGGGACCCCGTCGCTAGCAAAAGCGGAGAGTGAGACCGTAGTATTCTTATGCAAAAGCTATTCAAGTATTTCCTAGCTGCTTTGGAGGTGTCGCTCACTCCCGTAGGGCGCTTTTACTGTTATCTTAACTGTGTGTTTATCTATATGTAAAAACTTTCTAAAGCAAATACAGTATTCTCCATTTTCTTATCACTCCCAGAGCCTGGTGTTTTTATCTGCCCCTGTCCCACAGTTCTTGGGTGCAGCCGCCCAGTCTTCCCCTTCCTCTCTTGCTCGGCTCGCGGCTGAAGCCTGGGAGGGACTGCCAAACTGGGTTTGAGCTGCTTCTTGAAGTTGAGTGAAAAGCGGGAAACAGGCCCTTGTTTGGAAAGGGAACGGGATCACAGCAGAAAGGGCGCGAGGGAAGGGCGTTAGGATAACCAGTTTCTTCCGCGGGAGATATCAGGCCTAGATCTCCGGGGACACCGTTCACCCAGGAACTGAAGCGTCCCGTGGTCCTCGTGGGTGCTTGGAATGTTTTGGTAGTCTTCTGGTTCTTGCTTCAGTTTTTAAAAGGGAAAATATACAAGATCACCTAATCCACGATCCATCCTGAGCACAGCTGAAATTTTTGTCTTCGTCGCTTTGGGGGATCTGAAGGAGGGGGTAGTTTACCTTGTCCCAGGTAGAGAACAGGGGGCAGCGAAAGAGGAGATAATTTTCTAACTTCGGGGCCTAAAATCAGGATTACTTCCCATCGCCAACTCCCTTACCACCTGCCTTATCTGACCTTGTGACTTGCCTTAAGGCTCCGGAATCTAGCTGCCTGAATTTTTTTCCTAGTCTTTTGGGATCACCCAGAGTCCCTTGAGATCCTAAGAAATTTCAGAGTGGGTTTACACGGAAAACCTGAAAAACAGCAGCAACAACAAAACCACCACCTCTTGCTAACCAGTGTTACTGCTGGCCCCAGGCTAGCCTGCCCTTCTGCGGCCGCAGGGTTTCCAGGGATGGAAGGATGGCTGGGCCAGGGCGTCCTGCGCTCGCGAAGGAGCCAAAGAGGTAATTTCAGAAAACTTGCCTTCACTCGAAAGTCCAGTTTCCAAGCGAGGAGGATTAGGGAGAAACGTGCTTGGAATTTTGCGCCTGCTTCCAAACTAATTTTGACTTCCTATTTCCTTTGTCCTTATTCCCGGTAGCACCAGGGGGGTTTACGTGGGCGGGCCTGGACTGAGGGTCTGACTGGCCTGGAGGTGCCCTGGGTGCATAAGAGCGCATGCGCTTGCCTGGTGAGGAGGGTTCCTACAGGGGGGTGCGTACTTCAAATCAGGGCATCCAGCCGACCTCCCCAGCCGGCCTGGCACGCAGTGTCAGAATCTCTCTGTGTGCTCACTGCCTATGGAAACGGTCCAGGGCAGCTACATTTCAGACAGCACTGACCTAGGTGATTGGCGTTTGGAAAGACACGGTCTAGATTCATTCCACCAGGCTTGGGCCTCCATTCTGAGCCGTTTGTCACCTGCACCTCACCTACTCGATCCCGAGCTTGGGCCTGGGAACCCAAAGAAGTAGCAGCCTTCTTGTGGACCATATGGATGGATGGGCTCAGAGCAGCCAACAAACCAGAACCAAGGGTTGGAAGGAAAGGATTAGCATTGTTGGAAAGAGACTTCTGCAAGTGCTTAGACCAGTGACATCAGGGAACAAGTTTGTTTTGTTTTATTTTGGTCTGGGAGCAGGGCAAAAACTTGGGAGCTACACTTCTTTCTCTCAATGCAACTGGCAGGGAAAGAAAGAGTTTGGGTCAATCCATTATCTATTCCTCCACTGAAGAAAACAGCCATTGAACTCCACCAGCAGCCTTAGGCTTGGAGGGCCTGGATCCTGTTTGGTGTCACCAGCCTGCCATCTGTGTCTAGCTTGCTGTCTATCACACATTTCCTGTATTTCTACCTAGGTCTGTGTAAATACCAATGCTGTGTTCTTTGCACTTTCTGACTTTACCTCTGTGTGCTTGTTGTGGGTGGCATATGTGTGTGCAATTCTGAATGCTGTTTTCACCACTTCACCATGTTCTGTGTGCAAAAGGATATGTGTGGTGTTTGGTACAAATGCATACATAATGTGCCTACTATGGGTTTTCATGTATGCTTCATGGCTAAGATGTAGTACTTAAGTGTGACATGAACAGTTTACAAATTCCCAGTCCTGCAAGGAGCATTATAGTGGCTCCAATACACCTTCAGGATGCTGTGTATTCAGGACTTTCTGTCCAGTGTCTTACGAATTTCACTTCTCTTGTGTACATCTATATTGCCTTATTCTAGACACTCTGCAACCATAGTTGCTACACTGCTCACCCCCAGGAACCTTTCTGTCCCTTTAAGAAATGAGGTTTGGGGAGGCTCCACAATAGATACTCATTGACTGGAGGGCAGAGAGCATTGGTTGGGCTTTTTAGCTTTCTCAGTTCACCCTTTACCTTGATACACTGAAGGTATTATGGGGGATTTGGCCTTTGCTCTTTTAACAGAGGGAAAAGCCCCCCCCCCCTTTGCCATCTTTTACTCAATGCCTGTCCATTCTCTTTCTGGTCACCAAAAGCCAAAGCAGTTGAGGTTCCATAGGACTGCTTGGGCAGAGTTGGAGGGAAACACTAGGCTGAAGCTCTAAGTACAAGCCATCTCAACCCCAGCCTCCTGGGAACACTGCAAGTTGTGTCTGGGCCAGAGGAGGGTAGACCTCCATGCACTGAAATGCTAACTATCAGGGCCCCTCTGTCTGGGTCACACAGCAGCTAGTGGTCTGGCTCCTCACCCGACATCACAGGGTTGAGCCCATTTCTCTGAGCACTGTGCACTTCGGCTTGCTGCTCTAGCTAGTGCTTTCTGGCTGGAGCCTTCCCAATGTTAGGCCTCTATATACCTGAGCTGCTTGAAGAATGACAACCTTCTTTGCATTACCCCCCACCCAAGAAAAATAACGGCTATCTGGGATTTGTATCAGAAACCCAAACAGCAGAATGGATTGTGACGCTGTGAAAATCTGTATCAGAGACCTGATCTCTAGACACCTCCTGCCAGAGGAAAGATAGGCCAATCTGCTTCTTCTGGCTTGCTGACTTCTTACCACTTCCCTTCCCACTTCCAGCCGCAGCCCAGAGCTCTCATCCAGCTCCTTTTCTTGCCCTCTGAATCCTGCAGAATTGACCATCCAGTGCCAGTGTAGTTGATTATCGGAGGTAAGCTGAACAACTGATTAAAATGAAATGACCCGGAAGCTGCCATGGTGCCGGGCAGGGATGCTGATCAATAGTGGGGCTGGAAGCACATGAGCCTGGCAGTCAGGTCTGCAGTTGGGTTGGCCCAACTTTGGTTGTGGTTGGTACTGGCTCCAGTGCAGTGCTGGAAAGGCCAGTATAGGGCCTAGGCAAGCCAAGTGGGAGGGACTGTGGAGGCATGGACATGATGGCTCAGCTTATATTTCATTTATCACACTGTAGTGTGGGGTTTAGAGGGGCTCAGTTAGGGAGGCTGTGATGTCCCACCAGCAGTTTGTCATGGACACCTGCTCACTTCTTTGAAAAGGAGACTGGAACACCCTGCCACATTCTGGACCCAATGCCTTGCAAAGATCACAAAACTTGCAGCCTAGTATCAGGCCTGTGGCATGTTGGACATGCCCTGGCTCCCGAAGAGCAGGGGATATCTCAAACTCTTCTCCTTCTCCCTGTTGTCCTTTGCCTCCATGACCTCCTTTTACTGCCTAAGGCCTTTGTGTGGCTGTCACCTGAGAAACTGGCTTCCACTTCTGAGGTTTTGCAAGGCCCCCCCCCCCCAGGCATTGAGATTGAGTCTCCCAGTCTGTCAGGATGGTAAGACTGTAGGTCCTCGTGAAGCTTCCGCCCCCTTGCCTTCCACCGCCGGCTCTCTTTCCGGCCCCAGCTGAGCTAAGCTGAACCAGTCCCAACCCAGTGTGTGGGCAGGGATAGCTGTCTGGCCTGAGGGAGGTGGGGGAGGAGAAGGGAGCCTGGGAGGAGGGTTGCACTACTAGCCCAGCTCCGATTTCTTCGGTCAGCTGAGCACAACTTTCCATTCGAGTGTATTCATGCAGCCGCTGATTGAGCTCTGCAGTGTCAGGCCAGCTCGGCGGGAGGGGGCAGACACAGCCAGGCTGACAGAGGCTACACCACACACACCCCTATACAAATATACCCCCCAGTCACATGTTGTATGCATACCTCACCTCCAAGCCATTTCAGCACAAACATAGCTTTCCCACACACTCACCTGTCCCCAGAACAATTTCCCAACACCCATAGATCTTCCTTACACAGTACAAGATCTGTCTTTCTGCTTTATCCTTTACAGAATCTACACTGATGCTCAAACACAATTGCAAGAATCCTCAACACCCGCCCCCCCCGCAACTTCTTGCAGGTACTGTCTCCAGGATGCACACACTCGAAACCTTCATGGATGCACACACAAACCTTCCCAGTCTTGAAATCACACCCTTCCACAGAGCTATCCAGACTCACATCACAATAGAATTACACACTTGTGTAAAATGGCACTAGTACCTACAGACTGTGCAGGGTCTGTTCCACGCAGAGGGCTGGGGCTCACTAAAAGTTCATACCATACATAAGGGAATCAGCAGAAGAGTAATAAATTCTGCCTTGATACATTCACAGAGAATATGGGAGGAGCCTTCAGACACTTGCTGACTTAGGAGCCAACCCAAAGATAGTAGCAACATTATGCAGAGGCACCAGACCTCTAAGCCACACAGCCTGGCTGGGCACTCAGAAGCCACTGTTGACTCAACTCTATCCACTCCCAGAGCACATGTGGGTGAGTACACACACACACACACACACACACACACACACACACACATCCTTGCGCACGGAAACTAGATTTAAAGAACTCTAGTAGAGAGTTATACACACATCAGATAAGCATGCTTACTTTTGAGAATGGACAGAGGGAGGTCTCCATTTTGTAATTCTCCCCAAATGCCTAGATGTGCTATTCTGTAGAGCAAAAAGGAGATTAGGGTACAGAGACATTAAAGAGTAAGAAGGAAGGCAAAAGGAGAAAGAGAAAAGAGGGGTGGCTTGAAACAAAAAGGGAGGACCAGGCACATGCCTATAATCCCAGACTGCAGCAGAAGGATCTCCAGGTCAACCTGGGATATTGA